TTCTGTACATGTACCAAGTCGCTCTCACATGGGGGTGGTTCTCTCAGCCCAAGCTAGATGATCCCCCACTCTCGCTGCATGGAACAAACCCCAGTTTCCAAATCCATAGGTGCTATCTGTCCTCCTAAAGCCTTCCCACCACCAGCCCTGCTTTGCCTAAAGCCACAAGCCACAGAATCCGGGCATTCAAAGACCTCAAGTTTGAGCCAGGAATGTGTGCAGAGAGAAAAAAATCAGTATTAGGGGGGGAAAAACCAACATTAACTTGGATGTAGCCATTTGAATTTGGCACATTTACCCCTAAGGGTGGGGGAAACCAACCCCAAACCCCCCAAAATACCCCAACCATGCCTGCTGATAAGTGGGGATTAACATTAAAGTCGCACTGCGTTAAGAAAGCAGCTCCAACCTCAGTCATTATAAAGGTTTTTATTGTACAAAAATAAACCCCTGTATCAGATTTAGAAGTGACATATGCTGTCAAGGCATCTAGAAGGAGAAGGCAGCAATTAGGCTGACATTTGGATTAAGAGTGGGAGGGCACCGTGGTCAGCAATCTATTAGCTGGCAGTGAGCACTCCTCTGATCTTTAGTTCATAAGCAAATGCCAAGTATCAAAAGTCTGCTGAGCCTTTAAAAAAGGGCTTTTGTCCTCCTTGGCTTCCTTAGAGATATTACCATCAGCATCTTTCTTCTTAATATTCGGCTTTTATTCCATCTCAAAAGAGAGCTCAAAGTGCAAGCTTCTCTTGCCTGGTTTTACTAAAGGGCATTGTGGAGTCTTCCACTGAGTGCACAGCCCTTAACTGAATCTGTACAGACCACTCTGGTGCACCCACAGGCACTTGGCAATAGCAGGCACCAAGGCAAAGGGGAAAAAGAACCCCTCAAACATTAATCTTACATCAGTCTAAAGTCACCTTCCTGGAACTCCCCAGCATTCCAGCCCCTTGCAGTCACCTCCCTGCAGCAAGCGGGTGGGACTGGGAGGGGGTTTAGTGCGAAATAGCAAACTACAGACTAAAGAAAGTCTTCCTTGAGGCTCTGGTGGACTCCTCTTCCCCACAGGCATCACGGAGATGGTCAGCCAGCTCCTCTCAGGCTGGGTGGCCGACAAGAACTGGACCAAGAAGTATCACTACCACGCGGCTTACCTTGTCCTCAGCGGCATCACTAACCTGCTCTGTCCTCTGGCCACCACCTTCCCGTTGCTCATGACCTACGTGGTGGCCTTTGCTGTTTTCTGCGGTGGGTTCATGGCTCTGGTCCTCCCTGTGCTGGTGAGTAGGATGTTTTGTTAATAAAGCATCAGACGTAGCATTCCCAACAGTATTCCCACATCATCCCAACCGCCTTTCATAAAGCTGCATTAGCCAGAGCTGCCTGAGGGCTCTCCCCACCTTTGGAGCCCCAGATCTTCTCTCCACCCCACTTACTACTATCCACAGCACAGATGTAACAGAAACCCTGGGAACTGACTGCAGATTTGTAATGACCTGCCTTCCACATCCTCCTTTCTAAGGGAGACCACTCCACCTCATAGATATCAGGATAACTCCATTCACTTCCTAATGCTAAGACAGGGTTGTGCAGATCCACTCCCAGTCCCAGAACTACCTATAACACACACAGAGCAGTCACACACGATCTGGATATGGAGGTATCATTATCATTTGGCATTTCTTTCGGGGAGGGGGGGGGAACTGGGAGTTTAAAACACCTTCCTCATAGCCTTAGCAGCAGTTCTAGTTTCAGCAGCTGCCCAAGCATCTGGAAGGCAGAAAAGCATCTCCCATCCTAGTCATATCCATGCTGGCCTTAAGGAGGCGAGTGGATTCCAGGCTGGATGAGACCTTGAGGTGCAAAGTCCTTTCAAAACTGCAGCTAAGGAGGATGCTCGCCAGTCAAAATAGGAATAATAATAAAATGCTCTCTTGTGCTTTCACACATTGAGTCCTTTGAACTCAGTAATTACCCATTCTGGTCTGCAAACAGGTGGATCTCGTGGGAGTGCAAAACCTCCACAGCTACTTGGGGTTTGCTGCCTTCTTCGCTGGGATAGCAGCGGTTGCAGGACCTCCTCTAGCAGGTAACTCTTACGTGATGTATAATTATACCCACCGCAGACAGCCCATGGTACAACACGCTGGTGGCTCACTCTTCTACCCATGTGCATCCAAGGATGGTTCTTCTGTCTAAGTGGGGGGGGTGAAACCCAGCCATGTTTCAGGTATTTCTCTCTATGCACAAATTCTGTTCAAGAATTCACAAACCCCAAATTATTTTGGCAAAAAAGCTGCATGGAAAAAGAGCAGCTAAACATCCCACTCCATCCCCCATCACCACATTTTAACACAGCAGAAGAGTAACAACCACAATAGCAGGGATCTTACCCCCAATGGAGCATTATAACCTTGAACTTGGAACAGAGGGACTGGAGGAGAGGAAGGCAGAGCAAGGACAGGCTCAGCAGCAGTCCCATATCAAGCAGAGGCACTGAAACCTAAGGAGAAGTCTCTGTAATCTCGTTTTGAAGATTACACAGCTCAGCCACAGGAGCTCCTGGGCCCAAAGATAAGCAGGATGAAAAGCTTTGCCTTTCTCTCTCTGCCAGAAAACCAAAGCAGTTCTCAGTATCTGGCAGATTTCAAGTGCTTAGAAGTGAGGCTCCAGGTTCTGCTTACAAGCAAGGGGCTTGTTCTCCTCCAAACATCTTGGCCAGGACCAAAGCTTTTCCTCTCCCTCGTTGGTGGAAACACCACTGAGCTCTCCTGAGCTCCTCCTGATGCAAACAAACTAGGACAAGCTGCAGTGTCGAAGAGCAGGGTGAATGATGTGCTGTCACCCACCTAGCAAACGGATCCTGAACAGAACCTGCCAACTTGTTCTTCATGCATTGCTTCCTGCCCCTGCTATCAGCTGCCCCAAGCCTGCAGAGGCACTTTGCTCACAGCTGCCAAGGAGCCTGTAAATCCCAGCTCCATGCAGAGGTTTAGCACCGCTGCTCTATCATAAGCATGTGGAAAACCCACCAGATTGATTTCCCTAATCAATATAAAACTTGGTGTGGATGCAATTTCAAGCAACTTAAGTGTTTCACTGACAGCATGCTTTACGCTGTCACAGTGATCCATAGCCTCTATTGGATAGCTCTTCCACTGATACAAGATGTATGTCTACCCAAAAGCAATCCCTGTACAACCATCACAGTAAATTCCCTGACACAGTAACATACAGTATAAAAAGAGCTAAATAACTGGGTTCTCTCTCATCCATGCATCACATGTGCTAACACAGTGGTTATACTTTCATACCCTTCCAATATATTTGCACTAATTGCAAGCCTTTTGCCTTCAGAAAGTGCCAACCACTCACCCTGTGAACACCCTGTCTGCATTTTGTAAAGCAAGCAGGTTTCCTGCAAAAAGCCTTCCACAGAAATCACTCTTCTTGATGCTGGTGGGATAAATAAAGGCCAGATAAAGCCAAGAAGGAAAACTCTTGCTGATCCATCTCCCTGCAGGCAGAGCGAGAGGGAACCAACGCAGAGCTCAGGATCTAGGGTTGTGATCCAAGAGAAATGCTGCAATTTTCTCTTCCATTACAGTATTAGGTGTGAAAACTGAATCTGACCAGCAGCTACTAACTCAAAGTGTCCAAAGGATCTGCTCCTTGCAGGGTACAAACAGGATATAAATGCTATGTGGGATCCTGCGGTTTAGTGCCTCTGATGGCTGCTGACCTCCCTCAAACCTTCCCTTTAGCATTACAATGTTCTAACAGTGAATCCCAAAGCATAATGAGAGCCACCGAGGTTAAAAAAGCTTATTCGGCACACTAGAACAAAGCCTGATCACACTGCAACCAAAAGGTGACTCACCTGCCAATCTGTTTAAATACAAGCCCTTAAATCCGGAGGCAGCCTGACCGAAAGCCCAGGGTGAAGAGTTTGAAGGTTCCATCACAGCTCCTCACCCATCAGCACTGCTGGACTCTTCTGCCCTGCTGAAAAACACCAAACCAGGACAAGACAGAACAAACGTTATCTTGGCAGCCACAGGCAAGCTAAGGAGAGATGAGTACCTTTTATATCTGTAAAGCAGCGTAACTTAGTACCTTGGAGTGCAACTGAAATAAAACAAACCCTGTCACCCACAACTACAAACCAGATTCCAGCATCCAGCAGCACCCAAACACCAGCCCCAGCAAATCTGGGTGGTGAAAGGTGATGGGGTCATTTGAAAGCTGTGCTGGCACGTGAATCGGGATGCTCTTGTCTAAATGTTACCTGCATCCCCACACCAGGTATTGCTGCTTAGGGATAAACAGAACTTCTGATTGCAGAGCAGCAGCACAATTTAAACACAGCATCCCAGACTGGTTTGGGTTGAAGGGAGCTTAAAGCTCCTCCAGCTCCAACCCCTGCCACGGGCAGGGACCCCTTCCACTGGAGTAGCTTGCTCCAAGCCCCTGTGTCCAACCTGGCCTTGAGCACTGCCAGGGATGGGGCAGCCACAGCTTCTCTGGGCACCCTGTGCCAGCGCCTCAGCACCCTCACAGGGAAGAGCTTCTGCCTAAGAGCTCAGCTCAGTCTCCCCTCGGGCAGGTTCAAGCCATTCCCCTTGTCCCAAGCTCCTTTCCAGGTTTCCTGTAGCTCCTTCAAGTATTGGAAGACAAAAGTGCTGCTTTGCTGGAGTTTGCCCACCATGAGCTTCTAACTCAGCTTCCTCCAGCAGGAATGATTTTCTCATTTGGATGAGGAAAGGAGGCAGAGGCACCAGAGGTGCTTTGAAAAGCTGGGGTGTGATGTGGTGGAAGGCGATCACTGTGAGGTGAGGTGATCGCTGTAATATGAGGGGCAATGCTGGTCCTCCACCAGCCCCCCAGAATCCTCCACATGTCAAACCATTCTGAAAGACACAACTACAGTAAATCAGAACTCAGCTGGAGCGTTGTCCTGCACCGCTTACACATGACTATGTGAGTGTCACAGAATGGTTTGGCTTGGAAAGCACCATCCCATTCCAATGCCCCTGCCATGGGCAAGGACTCCTTCCATTAGACCAGGCTGCTCCAAGCCCCTGTGTCCAACCTGGCCTTGACCAGGCCCTTTTCCTGCCCAAATCCCAGAGCCTTTCAGACAGCAGCCACAGATCCCACCCTGGGGAACAAACCACTGCAGAACCATGGGGGTCACGGCAGCAGCACCCACGTCCCCACATCCAGCACCATGGGATCCTCCTTCCCAGCAGCGAGCTCCGGCTTCACCTCCACCACGGCTCACACGATGTCCCTGAGAAAAGAAACAGAGCTGGAACTGCCCCGAGGACGGAGGCAACAGGAGCAGAGCCCTGGGCAGAGCAGCACGGCCCACAGCCTCCCCTCTGTGCCATCAAACCCTCCTGCAGCCATGGAAACCTACAGCAGGGAAAACAACTGCACCTCTGCTCTGTCATCGATGCCCAGATTTCACTGGCTCCGTTTCCTCCCTTCCTGAGGGCTGTGGCATTCCCAAAGCAGCAATGCTCCCGCACGGCTGAGACCAGGATCTCCAGGGACTGTGTTATTTCCCTCCCTATCTAGAGCTGGTTTTAAGCATCCCAGATTTGGGCCAGATCTGCTGCTTGTGTAAATCGTGCGAGTCCAGGGATGTCCCCAGAGGAACTGCACTTTATGCCAGCAGCAGATCTGGCTCAGCTGCTAACCCACCTCGGACATCCAACCATCCCAGGCCAGATTTGGGACTATCTAAAGGTTTTTATCAGGTGTAACACCAATTCCCATCACTTTGTTTTGGATTTAAAGAGAGGATTTACCCCCCTTTAACAGCATTGTCTAGACACAATATGCTATACCATAACTAAACAAAACCCTTGGAGGTCACTTGAAGAGCTAACCTGCCTCCTTACTGATTCCTGAGCCTCTATGGAACTTAGTTTTCCCTTTTAAGTGCTCCCAAAGCTACTTTAAAACAAGTTCACATCAAGCTCCCAGCCTGGGATCTCTCCTGTTCGATTGCCTTAAACTTGGTCTGCTCACAAGAAGGATGTGGACTTTGCAGCCCAGATGCTGCAGACACCAAGACATGCAAAGCACCTCATTAGTCCAGTGGGATCATCCATCTTCTGCAGCAGTTACTTTTGGCCCCCTTATTTAAAGAGGAATAAAAAGGCAGGGATGAAATTCAATCCAGTTAAAACCCGTGTGCACTACAGGGATCAGAAGTCAGCTCTGGGGAGGATGAGCTACAAATTAGGGTTAATACCAACAGCAGAAGACACAGCAGTGCAGCAGCAGCACATGAAGAGTTAAGACAATTGCAAGGAAACATCTAAGGAACTCTTAGCTGAGAGCACACATCCCTGCTTCCCACCCACCACCCAAAATGAGCTCTTTTGGTGATTAAAATCCAACAGCTTTAACACTGCTCTTTTCTCCTGCAGGGTGGCTCTATGACTACACGCAGACGTACGTCTGCTCCTTCCTCTTTGCTGGAGCCTGTGCTCTCATCTCTCCCATTTCATTCTTCTTTGAGCCTTCGGCCCAGAAATGGAAGCTAAAAAAAGCCAACTCGAACAACAGCCCCAGGCTTGGCTGAGGGGATTCTGTGGTGGGCACTGGAAAGCATAGAAACATGGAATGGTTTGGGTTGGGAGGGACTGGAAAGATCATCCAGGTCCAGCTCTCTGCTGTGGATGGTCTTTGATGGCATCCACAGTGGGAAAGCGACGGCCAGCACAGACCTTCTGGTCCAGGAAATACAAACAGCAGCAAAAGTAAGAATTTTGGGATGGCAGATTCCTAGTTTGTATATCCAGGTATTCCTCCTGCACCTCTGATTAAAGCCATGCAACAAATACATTGTGTAAAGCATTATTTGATGGGAGAAAATAAGGCCAACGGCCCAGATGGACACGGGCTTCACTTGGCCTTTGCTCCTGAGCCATGTCTTTGTGTGTCTCAGGTTTAATCCTGCTGTGTTCAGCCTGACAGCTCAGTCCCAGAGCTGCAGAGCCACCCCTCCAGCTCTCCCAGCCACCCCAAGAGAGCAAAGCTGACTCACCTCTTGGGATGAGGACCTCAGAAGTGCCAAAACCAGCAGGAGATTTTAGCTTATTCTATTCACACAGGAATAACTAGCGAGGGCGGAGATAGGGATCAAACTTCCACGAGGATACGGAGAACAGTCATCCCACAAAGCCCTCTTGCTGTGAGAAGGATGCTGCACCGTGGCCACTCACTCTCCCAGGCACCGTGTATTAGCCACAGCACAGAGGACCTGGAAGCAAAACCAGTTCTCATTAAAGCCAGCACCACAATATGGCAAAGCTTAAATGCCACATCCACCTCTCAGACCCCTCTCCCCTCGTCCCCACCCTCCCAGTCATCAACAATTCCCTGGGATTCAATGAACATACAAGTCAATGCTTCTAGAACCAACCAGCACCCTATAGGTTTCATTTGGATGACAAGCTGTAACTGATCACTGCTTCGACTTCCTTGCCAGTTGTGAGGTTGTGATATTTTGCATTGCCACCAGATATTTGATATTCATCTGGGATATCGTAAGGGGTTTATAGGCTCATAGAAACAACCAAATCAGAAAAGCCCTTTAATCCCATCCAGTCCAACCCTTACCCCAGCACTGCCAAGGCCACCCCTAACCCATGGCACTGAGGCCTCGTCTCCACGCTGTGTGAACACTTGCAGGGATGGTGCCTGCAGCCCTGCCCTGGGCAGCCTGTTCCAATGCCTGAGCACCCTCTGGGGCAGGAATTGTTCCTCAGCTCCATCTAAACCTGCCCTGGTGCAGCTTGAGGCCGGTTCCTCTTGTCCCATCCCTTGTTCCTTGGGAGCAGAGCCCAGCCCCTCCTGGCTCCATCCTCCTGTCAGGCAGTTGGAGGCAGCCATCAGGTCCCCCCTGAACCTTCTCTTCTCCACACTGAACCCCCCAGGTCCCTCACTATCCCAGCCACTGGCATTACCCTTAAATACTAAAACATAAAAAGAGTTGTTTCCCTTATGGAAACTCCTTTAAAGTGTCAAATGGGTTATTCCAAGCACCAAATTAAGAGGGCTATATTTAATAAAAAGCTACAGAACATTATAACAGTATTAAGGAAGTAAAACATTGCTGCAGGCAGGAAGGTTTCCTCATAGATAATGGGCTGGTTTGAGAAGTTACACAACTACACAAGGGTGCTAAAATGAGGGGGAAAATAGCCTTCAACCTGCAGTAGATGGGGAACATCGGTGCTACAAAGAGGTTAAGTTCTCACATGCTGCTTCACAGCTTCTCCCAACTCCTGCAAGAATCCACAGGCAGCAAACACTTCAGAAGCTGTCTTTTTACACCTTAACCACTGCATCAAACACAGGGGACAGTTCGGTTGTACCAGGTAATATCTGTATCCACAGTAGGAACCCTCAAATCACAGACTGAGTGGGTTGGAAGCTGGGACCTTAAAGCTCATCCAGCTCCAACCCCTGCCACGGGGAGGGACCCCTTCCACTGGAGCAGCTTGCTCCAAGCCCCTGTGTGCAACCTGGCCTTGAGCACTGCCATGGATCTCTAGTGGGTCATTTTTGGAGCAACCAGGGTTTAAGGTGACTATTTAAGAAGCATTTAAAGCACTCACTGTTTAAGAGGGGTAAGTGGGTACCATACAATATATGGCTTGAGCCTGCACTAAGCCTTCAGCTGAGATTGAAGCTGGAATGAAGCTTCCATTTTCACCTCATGAAACATTATAGTTCATCCCTCTCCTACTGAACAAAGACCACCAGCAGCACCGGCTTGCTGCTCTAACAGACACCCTCAGGAACACTTGGCTTCATGTTTTCCAGTCCAAAAGCTTAAACCCCCTCTCATTCTGCATCTCTCTAACACATCTTTGAGTTCAATAGTGGGGTTTGCTATTAATAATGTGAGACCCAGTGAGCAAAGCAACATGGGGATGAACAAGAGCCGACACACCACATCCTTACCCTGCTGCTCTTGCTCTACATGATTTATAGCACCTATCCCCATGTTCTAATCAATTCGTCTCCCTGTAAATAAAGCCACTCTGCTCAACACCACCCTCCTTTCAACACAAGCTCTGTTACATTTTCACCTCTTTTGTCACCAAGGAATGATGAGCAGCGGGATGCGGGATGCGGTGTCCGCAGCTCCCATCCCATCTGCTCCAACAAACGGGCTCCCTTCCAAACCTCCAGGTTTTAAGGAGGAGAGAATTGTCCCTGACCTCTCCAGACTAACACATGCCACCAATTCCTTACCCTTAGTGAGAAAAACGGGTCTCCCAAGCGCTTGGACCCTTCTCTTTCCTTCTGCAAAGGGGCAAATAACTCAGGAGCTCCCGTTCCACAAAGCATCTTAGAATCACAGAATAGTTAGGGTTGGAAAGGACCTTAAGATCATCCAGTTCCAACCCCCTGCCATGGGCAGGGACACCTCACACTAAACCATGGCACCCAAGGCTCTGTCCAACCTGGCCTTGAACACTGCCAGGGATGGAGCATTCACAACCTCCCTGGGCAACCCATTCCAGTGCCTCACCACCCTAACAGGAAAGAATTTCCTCCTTAGATCCAATCTAAACTTCCCCTGTTTAAGTTTGAACCCATCACCCCTTGTCCTGTCACTACAGTCCCTAATGAAGAGTCCCTCCCCAGCATCCCTATAGGCCCCCTTCAGATACTGGAAGCTGCTCTGAGGTCTCCACGCAGCTTCTCTTCTCCAGGCTGAACAGCCCCAACTTTCTCAGCCTGTCTCCATACAGGAGGTGCTCCAGCCCCTGATCATCCTCGTGGCCTCCTCTGGACTTGTTCCAACAGTTCCATGTCCTTTATATGTTGAGGACACCAGAACTGCACACAATGCTCCAAGTGAGGTCTCACGAGAGCAGAGCAGAGGGGCAGGATCACTTCCTTTGACCTGCTGGTCCCGCTCCTTTTGATGCAGCCCAGGATACGGTTGCTTTCTGGGCTGCCAGCACACACTGAAGCCGGCTCATGTTCATTTTCTCATCTTACCCCACAGATGGGCACCACCAGCCCTTCTTGCCAAAAACATAACCCTGCAGAGGCAAAGTACCTGTCTGTAGCCCCAATTAACTCTTACCTATTAAAAGAGGCTGAGGAAACCAGTCCCTGTAATGAGAAACTCCTCCCAGCTGCTCTGCACAGTCCTACCATCAAGCTGGGAAGTGGGAGAAGTCTCCTGGAGCCTTCATCCTTGCCAGGGAGCAGGCTCAGGATAACATCTGGGGGTCAGATAACACTTCCCTCCTCTCATACCTTTTGCTGAGAAAGGAAGCACAGAAGAGATGCTTTAGTTCTCTTCGCAACTCAAAACTAAAGGCATTTATTTACTTGCAAAATACATGCAACACACACATTAGAGAAACAAACAGAGATGAGGATGGGAACATCTGCCTGGAGGAAGATTTTTCCATCCCACTGAAGTCATCTTGCAAATAACTCCATAAAGCCAGTTTTGCACAGTAAAGAGCATCACATGCTGATGGGCTAAATGCAAAACTGCTGGGACACAAACAAGTTTAAAAGCTGTCATCTCTCAGGTTCACTTGGCAAATCCCTTCACGCCTGCTCCTTTACTCGACTGCAGAATACAGGGTAGAGAAAATGAGCAGCAATGGCTTAGTATGATCATCAGCATGAAAAATGCTTTGTTTGAATCAGAGAACCATGGAATGGTTTGGGTTGAAGGGACCTTAAAGCTCCTCCAGCTCCAACCCCTGCCACGGGCAGGGACCCCTTCCACTGGAGCAGCTTGCTCCAAGCCCCTGTGTCCAACCTGGCCTTGAGCACTGCCAGGGATGGGGCAGCCACAGCTTCTCTGGGCACCCTGTGCCAGCGCCTCAGCACCCTCACAGGGAAGAGCTTCTGCCTAAGAGCTCAGCTCAGTCTCCCCTCGGGCAGGTTCAAGCCATTCCCCTTGGCCTGTCCCTACAGGCCCTTGTCCCAAGCCCCTCTCCACGTTTCCTGCAGCCCCTTTAGGCACTGGAAGACAAAGCAGCGCCCTCCCAGTCCTCCTCCCTGCTCCTGAGAAAGCCCAAGAGCACAGGGCAGGATGCCCTTCTGCTTCCCAACCCACATGTACCTGAGGCATCACCCCTGCACTTTGTATTGGAAGGAAATGGATAACAACCTCCTACAGATCTCTCCAAGACAGTAACTTAACTTGTAGAGCTGATGACAACCTCAGCACTCCACCTTGAATCACTCGGTGCAACATTTCCAGACCCCAAGCTCATCTTTTGCTCCCCAGGCTGCCTGCCTGAGGAGAAACCAGGTTTGGAATCATCTGAACAGATTGGTTGGTTTAAAACCCTAAAATTCATGCCAGCACCAACGTTACACCTGGGTTTGTCTCATCCAAACAATTGTGCTGCAAGGCTACCATCCTCCCTTGGAGTTACAGGGAGGGAAAGAGCTCTTCCATCCTTATTCAGGGATTTATTCCAAGGTATAATCCTGCAAGGCAGCTCTGGGAGCTAAAGCTGTAGCCAGAAAGGGAATAACACAAGAGCACCGGGGCTCTGCTGCCATCTCAGCCCTGTCCTGGTCACCCTCCATCACCCAGCAGCTCTTTGGGCAGCACTGATTTAGAGGCAGGCAACTGCACGGTCTTAATCTTGAACTGATTTCACATAAAGCTGCTAAATCTCAGCTGAGGTCTATCAAAGCCATGGAAGCTGGTGCAGCCAGAGGTCACATACAGAAGCATGCTAAGTCCTTAACTCACACTGGAGCTCTTCTCTAGTCTTATATGGTCACCATACACCTCTGAGGGCCCTGGCTATGCGCTGCAGGTACCCTTCCTCCCTGGGTTTGAGGAAACCTGCTGTGGGTCAGCGAAAGTCAGGGTCGAGCTTTAGAACACAGACTGAGCCATTCCTCAGTGGAGCAAATAACCCCCTCCTGCCTCGTGCTCTCCTGTCAGCCTCTCTCCTTGATAACAACCTGCTGGTATCCAAGGCCTGGGCTTCCCCCCAGCTCCTCTCTGATAAACCCAGGCACTAAGCACAGAGTTGGTCCCAAAGTTTAACACATCACAAGGGACAATCGTTATCTCGCGATAAAATCCCCTCCAAGGGCTGGGCTGGAATCCCTTCCGTCGCTCCTCCAGCATGCAGGAGCTCTGGATGTTGAGTATCTCTGGGATACTCAAATGACAGGAGCCTGGAGATGAGCTTGGAGAGCTGACCAGCAACCACACAGCTGCTCCAAGGCCTGAGAACAGGGTAAGGGGCAAGAAGTTTAGGGACTAACCCATCACCTGGGATCTCGCATTGCTCTCAGCACCTCAGATGCTTTATGCACAAACCCACTGCAAAGCTTCTTGTCTACGGTGGTACTGGAGAAACAGCAGCTTTGTAGGAGGCTCCTCATGGAAACAACTCAGGTTTTACAGGAGAACAAGAAGCTCTCTCACAGCTGCAGCAGGTCTGGTTTTGGGTAGCGGAACACAACACACCCCAAACAAGGGGCTCCAGCTACCAACACTGCTGAGGTCCCTGCTTTGACCTTAAGCCACGGGAAGAAAGCAAAAAGCACTTGAAAATGGCAGGGTAAGGATACGACAACGAGCTTCCAGCAGCAGGAAACCAGGCTGCTCCTCCTTCACCCGTGCCATTGGGAGACAGCACGCGTGGTTTCGGCTCTTTACTTGCTCTTCCACACGCTGGTAACAGCAATGTTTGGCTTCTTTTTTCCCCGGTGCTTGTTTCCCTCCCTGCCTGGAGCCCATCCTGCAGCCGTGTCCGGGGTGCAGAGGTTGTGAGGCTCAATGGCAGCAGAGCCTGACTGGAAAAGCTGCACCTCCGGGGAGACAAAAGCCTCCAACAGGAGGTGGGGAGTGGGGGTTTGGGGTTGGGTTTTAGCTATGGGCTCCTCACGGAAAAGCTTTTAAGCCTGCAGTGAGCACAGAGGAGATGGGAGCTCTTGCTCATGGCCACAGACAAGTTCAGAAGTAATTCATGGGTCAAAGTCTCCATCTCTGAAGCAAGCCAGACTTTGCCTCCTCATCCAGCACCGAGCTTTGCAAGGCTTTCCCCTACAGATACTCCTCACGTGGGCACGACAGGGCATGGACTGGACTCTGGCTCAGGAGAGCTGGTGCCTGTACAACACCCCAGTGACTAACATAATGCATCTGCGTTGATCCCCAGCCCCGCAAGCCTTTGGTCAAGCAGGAAAGGGAGCTACAGCCACGCTGGCTGAGATAAGGGAGGTCACAGGGATGGGGTACCCAGGACCAGCCTCAACCTGCTGCCGGGACACACATCTGTGTGCAAGGAGAAAGAGCCAAGGCACTTGGTAAAGGACATCTGACAGCTGGGAAGGCATCTCTGCTGCTGCGTCTTAGTGCACGGGGAGCTGGGCTGCAGGTATGAGACACGAAGACTTGTCTGCAGCCACCCAAGAGCAGCACAGGAACAAGAACGCTCCCTTCCTCACTGTGCTGTCCCCGCAAGCCTCAGTGACAGCAGCTCAGTGTTTGAAGAGCTCATCCTGCACCAAACCCCTGCCCAGGCAGACAATGGGGCTGGGCTCTGAACTGAAGCCCCCCAGGCTGGCAATGGTGCTGGGCTCTGAACTGAAGCCCCCCATCCTGGCAATGGTGCTGGGCTCTGAACTGAAGCCCCCCATCCTGGCAATGGTGCTGGGCTCTGAGCTGAAGGCCCCCATCCTGGCAATGGTGCTGGGTTCTGAGCTTAAGGCCCCCATCCTGGCAATGGTGCTGGGTTCTGAACTGAAGCCCCCCATCCTGGCAATGGTGCTGGGCTCTGAGCTGAAGCCCCCCCATCCTGGCAATGGTGCTGGGCTCTGAACTGAAGCCCCCCATCCTGGCAATGGTGCTGGGCTCTGCCTACACTGCAGGCACGAACCAAAACCAACGCCTTGGCCAAGCAGGCTGCACCACCAAGGACAAGTTCTCTGCACTGGGAGCCAGAGCTTAACAACCACCCTCATGAGACCTCACTGGCTTCCCGTGACCAGAAATCCCTCTGCACCCTGCCATCCTCGGGCGTACCTAAAACGATTTTACAGGCTTGGAACACAGCATTGCACATGAAAGGAGACACAGACTGCAAGATCCAAGCCCTCGCTTGCTACCAATGGCAGCAATGCCAGGGAAAACAGCCGGTCTGGGGCAGGATGCTGGGTTCAGGAGTACGTGGTGCTGTAAGTCAACCTGCCCTATCACTGGAGCTGGGGACAGGAAATACTGAAGATAGCTAAAACTCAAGAGACCCATATTCAGATCCGATTACTGAACTAGGTATGAAGGTCAAGGCAGGGAGATAAGTAGGCGAAACATCATAACCCACAATTAACCTATGGCTCATTGGCTCATCTGTGCACCCATCCTGACCCTGGGAAAACACACACGAGCTCCAACACAACAGCACAGGCACAGGAGCTGAGCTGGGAGCTGGCACCTCCTCAACCCACAGCAACACCATCGCGTTTGGCACATCCCTACGTTGATTTTTCAACCGTGTTTCATTAACGCATCCCTGGAGGGGGATACAAAGGATGGGCAAAATAAGGAGATCTTTGTGCCCCATGTACATGTTCGCTGCTCTTTCTAGAGGCACCTCAAGTCCACCAGGTCACGAGCAAATAGGACAAACACCAACAGGCTCTTGTTAATCAGCCCCGGGTAACCCATCACAAGAGCCCTTCAGCAGCTTACTCTGCCTTAAGAGTTTACTTCACCCAGTTCTCAAGCCAGCTATAATTACACTCAGGCACACAGCTACCAGACACTAACAGAAGGAGACACAACAGGAATCACAAAGCCATCAGCCCAAGATACTTTCCACTCCTCTTCCTGGCCTTTCTGCAGGCGCCTCACACCAAAAACCAGGACACATGCCGAGAGCGTATCCTCAAAGAGCATTGCCGTTTCCTAGTAAACCAGCATAACATAAGCTTGCTATTAGCAAAGAGCAGAATCTGGGCCATCTGATGTCTTAAACTTCCTTATGAATTCAGCCGTGGCTGGTAAATGCACAACTCTAAAGCAACGTGTGAATTCAAATAACCGGCTCCCCGTCTAATCCACTTGCATCGCTTTCTACCGCAGTGCAGTTAATTCAATGGCTCTCTTTATAAATTCACTTTCCCCAGAAGTCTCATTAGCCAAATTAATACGATGCACACAGAGCACTTAACCCTTCAAAGAGACAGCTTTAACAAAAGCCTGGCTTTACCTGGCAGCTGACGCATCCCTCTGACCAATTCAGAAGGCACAGGAGCAGAGCCAGCACATGAAAAACAACTCGCTATTACAAAGCAACCACAGAAGAATCATCCCACACCACATCCCACGATACCTCCAAGTCTCCAGAATAAATATGTAACGCAAAGGAGACAGGGAAGAACCTCCTGGTGAAACACACAGTGAAATGCAAGTCAAAGCATACCCAAAAAGCGGGAAGAGTGCCCAAGCAGCTAACCAGCCCAGCAAAACCACCTCCCGCAGTTGGGATGCACGAACAGATCACTCATCTCTTCTTGGCACCAACCACCCAGCTGAGCTAGAGATTGAAACATGCTTGCTGTTATGTCCCCCAAACCTAGACCTTTTGTACACTTCAAATTAGAGCATAGTCAGAGGTCACATTACAACAGAACAGGAAATACATTGCAAACATGTGAATTTTAACTACAAACACCAACTTCTA